CCCAGGCCTTCACCACACTATTGTCTGTGTCCTTGGGTTTTGCACTGATGCATGTAAGTTCTTTGGGCAATCCCTTCCCACCACCCACCCACCCCCTTCCCTCTGGGATCTGTCAGCCTGTTCCATGCTTCCATGTCTCTGGACCTAATTGTTTGTCAGTTTAGTTTGTTCATTAGATTGTACATATAGGTGAGATCATGTGATATTTTTAAAGAGTCAGAAATTAGAGTGACTGTAATAATTGGAATGTTTGAAATTTTCACAGTAATGATTGACAACAACAAATAAACAGTTGTTCCCCTCTGTCTTAATAAAATGATTGATTATTTTGGGAAAGAGATTAGTCAAGGAATATAAAGCAAAAGGAGTATTTTAAATCTAAAAGCTTTACCAGATTGGAATGAGAAAGGCAAAATACATAGTTATCACCTTTGTTCATCAAGCACTTATTGAACAGCACTTTTCACCAAGCAAAGATGTGTGGAAGGTGGCAAGAGGCAATATTAGAAATGACCATTGCCTTCATAAAACTGGTGGGCTTTGTTCAACATACAAATTTCTTTGGAAACCGTGTCCTATCCTAAATGTTAGGGCAACCATCATTTTTTTAAACTTTGCAACCTGCAGTCAAATATATGGGTTATGTATAATACAAACTGTTCCCTATATCAATCACCTTCAATTGGAGAGTGTCTCTCCTTAAAAACAATAAAAACTCACCTTCCTGGCAAGTGATTACTGCATATGTTTCATGGAGGAAAAAACAAACAAAATATTTATAAATATGAATTTGCCTCTAAACAAGGCAAGGTATATGTACTTTTGTCACTCCTATAAAACAATAACATGAATAACACCCTGTTTTGTCTTCTCCAATGAAAAGTAAAACACTTCACTCCAAACATTTTTATCTTTTATGCTATATTTTTACTGTACCTTTTCTATGTTTAGTTATGTTTAAATATACAAATACCATTGTGTACAGTTGCCTGCAGTATTCAATACAGTAATATGCTGTACAGGTTTGTAACCCAGGAGCAACAGCTATACCACATAGCCTCGCTGTGTAGTAGGCTATCCCACCTAGGTTCCTGTAAGTGCGGTCAGTCATGTCCACACAATGACAAAATTGCCTAATGATGCATTTCTCTGAACACGCCCTTGTTAAGCAGCGCACGACAGTACTTATGCTTTGTTGGTTGTCCACATAATGAAAACTCCTTCCACTGTGTGGATAGTCTACCATTTTACTACCTCTTTTAGTAAACAAGGTTTTGATTTTTTTAAATTTGTAATTGATTTCTTAGAGAAAGGGAGAGAGAGAAACATTGATTTGTTGCTCACTTATTTACCCATTCATTGGCTGATTTTTGTATGTGCCCTTCCCAGGATTGAACCTGCAACCTTGGTGTATCAGAATGACACTCTAGCCAACAGAGCTACCTGGCCAGGGCCAAGATTTTAAATTTTTAACATAGTTGAATTTGTTAGTCTTCTTTTTTATGGTTTGTGTATTTTATGTATCTTGTTTAACAATCTACTCTGTTTGAACATGCTAAGAGAAAAATTAGACATTTGGAGGGGAGTTTTGGAGACAACGAATGATAAATAAGTTGAAAACTAGGCACACAAAAAATCCAACCTACTTCAGGAAAAAATGAATGTGTGCGAAAGAAATTAGTCAGATTCGAGAATATTGCTCAGCAGTATTCAAATATTTATGAAGTCAAGGTAACATAACCTTGGCTATTAAAATTATGATTAATTCTATGGGGAAGATAGGGCAACAGCCTGAGTGCTAGTGTGGCGATAGCGGTGGTAGAGTGGGTTGCATTGTATTTATTTCCTATTATGCATAACAAGCTATCTCAAACCCGGTGACTTAAAACAACTCACTGATTATCATGGTTTCGGTGGGTCAGGATTCTGCACAGGGTCGCACGAGGCTCCAATCAAGGCGTCAGCTGGGGCCGTAGTCTCTGCGGAGTGAATGGGAAGGGTCCACTCGTGGCAGTATTCAGTACTTACGGTGGAAAGGCTGAGGCCTTCCGTTTCTTTCTGACTGTTGGCCAGAGGTTGCCTTCAGCTGCTAGAAACTGCCTTGGGCTTCTTGCCACCAGAGCCGCCTGACATTGGCAGCCCACACAGACGTGGCTGCTAACTTCAAAATCAGCCGGGGAGGGAGAGATTCCAGCAGGAGGGGCCCTGCAGCTTTCTTTTCCAGAATTACATACTCAGTCCTCCATCCCACCGCCTTTACCATGTTTAATTGGTCGGAAGCAAGTGGGGAGTTTCTCCTGTAGGAAAGGGCAGGGGAACCACCCAAGGATGTTGTGTCAGTTTACCCAAAACAGTCCACACAGAACCCCCCTCACTTCTGACACAGTCGCGGCTTCAGGAGATGCCCCCAAGTCACTCCCAGGTCTGATAATTCACTGGAAAGAGAACTTGCTGAAACCTTTAACTCATGGTTGTAACCATGAGTTTATTACAAGATAAAGATACAGGTTAATGAGCCAAGGGAGAAAGGGCATAGAGCAGGGTCGAGGAGGGCACCAAACGCAGGGCTTCTGTTCCTTTCTGTGGAGTCATGGATGCATTCTTCTCAGCATTGATGTGAAATAATACACATGCAATATTGCCAGCCAGGGACGCTCACCTAAGCCTCAGTACCCAGAGTCTTCATTGGAGGTCAGTGGTTGGTGGCCCAGAGATCTAACTTCAGTTCCCAAGCCCTCAAGAAGTTAAGTGGTATGACCCAAAGCCCCACCATAAATCATATTGTTAGATTTTGTGGCATGTTCCAAGGGCTCTGTGATTATATCCCAGAAGCCAACAGCAAAGGCAAGACCCATCTTTGAATTAGATTAAATTCTTTACTACCTATCTAGAGAGGAACCCCAGGAGTTGGGGGTTTTGGAACCAATCTAAGAGTGACCATCACAGGTATGTTTCTTACAGTGGAAAATTAGTAGAAATGTTAAATTTCTTATAGTGGAAAAATAGTAGAAATATCAAATTTGAAAAACCGAGACAATGCCATATAAGCATGTAATTTAGAAATAGCTAAAAGATGAAATGGTTGCATGTTAGTCATGAAAAATGAAGAAAAGAAGGCCTGGGAGCTACTTTTTAAGAATAAGCCTTATAGAACCATTTGCTTTTGTATACTACATGCACATATGACTTTTTGATAAAAATGAGAAAATTTTAAAATGCCTACATTTAAAAATATGGAACAAAATCAGATGCTTACATTTAAGTGTGAAAAAAGAAAGTTAAAATTGCCTATTCCACTACCCAGGGAGATAGCATTTCTAACCTAATTCTTCTCTGGCTGATTGTAGGATTTCTGTCTTTGGTATTCTGAAATTCATTATTACATGTATAACTGTATATCTTTTTATCCTGCATGAGATTCATTGAGCTCGATTGTGTGGATATTTTTTTATCAATTTTCTGGAAAATTCTCAGCCATATCTCTTCAAATGTTGGCCTGGCCCTAATCTCTCTCTCTTCTCTGGGACTCTAGTTAAGTGTATGTTCGAACTTCTGAATTTTCTATTGCCTAACCCTCTTTTGTATTTTCTGTCTTTGTTGTCCTGTGCTGCATTCTGACTTATCTTCTAGTTCACTTATTTAGTGTTAAATTATGTCTAATTCTCTGGTAAATGCCTTAAAATTATTTTTATTATGCACATATATATGTACACACCAAAACAGGAGGATATTATATTCTCATATCTATTCCCTGGTTTGAACAATATCATCATTCCACTTTCCTGATTTTACCTGTGGTCCTTGAGTTTGAAATTTTTCAGTATATATTCTTTTCATTTCTAGAAGTTTTATCTGATTCTTGTTCTCATCTGCTATGTCACTTTAAAAATTTTATTTTTATTATATTTTAATTGATGTTTTAGGGGGGAGAGAGAAAGAAAAACATTGATTTGCTGTTCCATTCATTGGTTGATTCTTGTATGTGCTATGACCAGGGATTTTACCCACAACCTTGGCGTATTGTGACGACACTCTAACCAACTCAACTACCCGGTCAGGGTGCTGCTGTATCACTTTTCATAGTTTCCTATTTCTGGCAGGTATTTTGAATCCTGAAGTTTAATTACCT